AGCTTAGTGTGAGGGCCCTGGGTTCGATCCCCAGTGCCTCAAAAATACATATTTAATGTATAGGAAATGCTTAAGTGCTAGTTTCTGTGCTATATATCTTGTACATTGTTTTTGGTGTTGTTGTTTTTTGAGACAGGGGCTCAATATGCAGTTTGGGCTGAACTTGAACCCACAGCAGTTCTCCTGCCTCAGCCTCTCAAGTGTGCTGAGATTACAGGCATGCAGCCACCATGCCAGGCACCTTGTATATATTGTACTTAATCCTCTCAATAGTACTGGTCCTATTCCAGTTTTACAAAGGAGGAAGCTGAGATCCAGAGATTAACTGTAAATATGGATCCAGGATTACTATGCTTTTTCAATTTTTGCTGGTGCAAAGTCTATTTTGTTATTTTGCATTGACCAAGAGGGAAAAAATTAACTTTAGAGAACACTTCATTAACCCAAGGGAGCATACAGGAGTATTACCTTGTGAATTGCTGAGCTAGGTCTTTTCTACCTAGAGTCTCTTAGGAGCAAATAGGTTTGGGGCCCAACTGTTCATTCATCAGTTATTAGTTATTCCTGTAGCTATTTATCTCTAAGATTTACAGGATTCTATAAGAATAATGGTGTAGGAATGTTGTTTTATGATTTTAACTTGGAAATAATAAAGCCCAGGTGAAGAGATGGGTAGGCCTATTCCTTATACTGTCTGGGATCAGCTGTCAAACTGCAGTGGAGTGTTAAGTCCTGACTCTAGCCATGGAATGCCTGGAGCTCAGATAATAATTCTGTGGGGTTTTTTTGTTTGTTTTGTTTTGTTTTTAGAGACAGGGTCTCACTATGCAGTTCAGGCTGGCCTTGACTTCACTTTGTAACCCAGGCTGGCCTCGAACTTGCAACGATCCACTTCACTTCACTTTGTAACCCAGGCTGGCCTCGAACTTGCAACGATCCTCCTGCTTCAGCCTCCTGAGTGCTGGGATTACAGGCGTGCGTCACCATGCCCAGCACTCCTATCTATTTGAGTTATCAAAAAAATTTAATTTTATATATAAGGGGTACCTCTTACAGCTCATCTCAGTTCAGTCCTGCTGTTACACTAGCTACATTTCAGGTGCCCACTAACCACAGCCATGAGTGGCTCCCAGGTTGGCCGGTGCCATTCTAGAGCTTAACTTTGGTAAACGTGAAGGTTATTATTCTGGACATCACACACACACACACACACACACACACACACACACTGTCTCTCTCCCCGCTGCCTGTTTATTTGAAAATTGAGGAATGTTTTCAGAAAGCAATTTTGCCATCAGCATAGTGGACATTGACAGCAGTTTTAGTTGTTTCTTGGTAACTGATAAAATGCCCTCAGCATACCAGATACTTACTCTTCATTTTGTTGCTTTTGTTTTTGCTTTTTTGTGATACTGGAGCTTGAATCCAAGAGGACTGAGCTACAACCACCACCACCAGCCCCCCTGCCCTTTTTATTTTTTAATTTTGAGACAAAATCTCACTAAGTTGCTCAGACTGGCCTCAAATTGTCCATCTTCCTCACTTGGCCTCCATGTAGCTGGGGTGTGGTGTGTGCTATCGTACCTGGGTAGTTGATAGGATTTTTGTTTTTTGAGACAGGGTCTGAATATATAGTCCAGGCTCATTTTAAAGTCATAGTGATCCTCCTGCCTCAGCCTCCTACCTCGCAGTTGATAGCATTCTAAGTCACTTTTAATCTTACAGGTTCTCAAGACATCACTTTGATTAGATGGTCAAGGAAGGTATTTTTATTGGACACCTGAAAGATGAATGAGAAAACTGTAGGAAGAGCATTGTGCATAGTGAGGAGAAGTACCCAGAAGCCATAGAGTAGAATGGCATGTGTTGAAAAAAATGTGAGAATCAGGGCATTGTGGTGAATGTCTGTAATCCCAGCACTCCAGGAGGCTGAGGCAGGAGGATCACCGAGAGTTCAAGGCCAGTCTGGGTACGTAGTAAGTTCAAAGCTAGCCTAAACTGCATAGTCAGACCCTGTCTCCAAAAAAAAAAATCAACCAATAACAAATGTTGGTGGGGCTTCAGGGGCGTGGGGAAGAAACCCTTCTCCACTGTTAGTGGGAGTATAGACTGGTGCAACCACCATGGAAATAGTGTGGAGATTCTTCACAAAACTAGGACTAGCCAGGCATGGTGGTGCACACCTATAATCCCAGCACTTGGGAAGCTGAGGCAGGAGGTTTGCTGTGAGTTCAAGGCTAGCCTGCACTACACAGGGAGACCCTGTCTCAAAACAAACAAACACAAAAACCCTAGGACTAGAGATCCCATTAGACCCAGCTATTCCCATTCTTGGTATCTTTGCAGAAGAATTTAAAACATCATACCACAGCGATAGATGCACACCCATGTTTATAGCAGCACAGTTTGTAATAGCTAAATTTTGGAAGCAGCCCAAATGCTCATCAACTGATGAGAATGGATAAAGAAGACGTAGTTTTTTATATAATGGAATACTATTCAACCACAAAAAGGACAATCTTGAACCATTTCTAGGTAAATGGATGCACCTTGAGGTCATACTCTTTAAGTGAAACAAATTGCACACACATGTAAGCACTGCATGGTTCCTCTGGTGTGAGAAACTGAAAGTGTAAATAAGGACCAAAAATATAATAAATAATGTGAAATAGGAAGAAAATGTTCAAATGGGAAGGGGAATTAGGGAGGGGGGAGGGGGGAAGAAAGGGAAAAGAAACAATGAAAAGGAAAAAATGGAAACTAAGCTTTTGTAAATAGGGAGGGGAAAGGAGTTGAAGGGAGAGGAAGGAAAAAAAGAAGACCCAAGATATATTATGTACAGGTACAGACTATATATGAGGAATGTGACTGTGAAATTCACATTCATGTAAAATCATTAAAATGTACCAATAAACTTAATTAAAAAAAACTAAAAGTAAAAATAACAAAGAAAATGTTTTTGTAGCACAAGGATCCATACTGTAAAATCCTAAATTAGTTTTCTTTATGTAATGTCTGCCAGGAATCTGATTTTCTCTATTTTTATTGGTTTCTCTCTTATTTTTTTTTTGCTTGTGTGTGCCATGCTGGGGATCAAACAGAGGGCCTGGTGCGTGCTAAGCTTACATTCTACCCCTAGCCTGTACCACTAGCCTGCATTTGCTTTTGTTTTTCTTGCATTACAGTATAAACTAGCCTGCTTCTCTCCAAAGCAACAATAAAATAATAAAAAGGAAACAAACAATATAAACTAACAACATTCTTTTTAAATGTAGGATCTCGGGCTGGGGATATAGCTCAGTGGCACAAGCACCTGCCTGCCAAGCTCAAGGTCCTGAGTTCGATTCTTAGTTAAATAAATAATAAAAGTAGGATCTCTTCAATAGTTACTTGGTCTAGTTACTTGGCTTTTTAAATTTTTTTTTGTTCCTCTTTTTGAGACAGGGTCTCGCTATGCAGTTCAGGCTGGCCTTGAGCTCACTTTGTATGCCAGGCTAGTCTCGAACTCACAGTGATCCTCCTGCCTCAGCCTCCCCAGTGCTGGGACTACAGGCGTGTGCCACCACGCCCGGCTGAAAAAATTTCTAAGTCAAGAGTATTGGGTAGGTTTTTGGGTTTTTTTTTGGTTCCGGGAATTGAACTCAGGACCTTGCACTTGCCAGGCAGGCACTTGTGCTGCTGAGCTATGTCCCCGACCCTTGGGTAGTTTTTAGTGTACAAGTCTGACACTTTTTTAAAGAGACATGAGAAGGATTTATCAGAGGAAAATATAGGATGCACTCAAGAAAGAAGTGCTCAAAGAAATGAGGCACCTATATCAGTTTCTCATAATAGAATTACCTTTGCAGATTGTGATAGAAGTTTCTTTCAGGATGCCTCGAAGTTGTTTGTAGGGGAGAGAGAGTTGTTGCGTAAAGGTGATATGATAGGCATAGGAGTTTCTGAAGCCACACAGACGATACTGAAGTTGTAAGAAAAGTATGGCTCTTTTGTTTAATAAGTACATTGCCTTTTGGTTTGAACTGATGGTGGTGTTCAGTGGGCATTATTAACCATTCTGATCTTGCTAGAGACCCACACAAACACCCCTACTTCACCTGGAGGATTGATTGGGGATAAGGTCTTTGGGAGGGGGGGTCACTACTAGGGATTGACCCCAGGGGAACTCTACCCCTGAGCTACATCTCTGGCCTCTGACTTTTTTTTAGATCCTAAGTATAGTTATTGAAACTTTCATTATATGGTAAAACATAGTCCCCTCCATAATTGTAATAATTTCCTGTGGAGTTTTTATTAAACAAAACTTAATGATTAGATCCGAGTACAGTTAGCATGGGAGGAAGTCAAAGGCCACATCTCTTTTATTCACTGTTGTGTTCCTAGCACCATGACTAGCATATAAACATTCAGTATTTATTTATTTTGTTTATTTGTTTAGGGTTTTTTTGGTACCAGAAATCGAACTCAGGACCTTGTGCTTACCAGGCAGGTGCTTATGCTGCTGAGCTGTATCCCTGGCCCACATTCAGTATTTATTAAGTGAATTGCCAATATGGCAGAGGTGGAACTATCTTCTCTAGAAAGCATCACTATAGAGCAGTGGTGATTAATTCCTTACATTTCTACTACTTTTGTTATGTGTGGATTATGTAACAGTCACAGGTGATGCATAATTTGTGTTTACACCACATGGCCACATCCTGAAATTATGGTCTAATTGTTTGTGTGTACTTTAAACTCAAGTTAGCCAATGTTTTTCACCCCGTGTCACTTGTAGAAAGAAACTCATAATATTTGTATTGTATGCTGGAGTAAACTGAGACAGGAAACTGCTTCTGGTCTTTCATGGGATCTCCTAATAAAGCCTGAGGGGATTAATGTCCATGTAAAGCTAAAACCACCCACAGCATAGTCATGGGGAAGCTTTGATTTTTAGACCTTAGTAAGTATAGTGCAGTGCTTAAAAATCTATTGTTTAATATTGTCTTTCTTCATTTTAGTGTGGAAATTGGCGAAAGTGTACGTGGAGAAGATGTTTACATTGTTCAGAGTGGTTGTGGTGAAATTAACGACAATCTAATGGAGCTTTTGATCATGATTAATGCCTGCAAGATTGCGTCAGCCAGCCGAGTCACTGCAGTCATCCCATGCTTCCCTTATGCCCGGCAGGATAAGAAGGATAAGGTAGGACCAGAATCTTTCCAGCAAAGAAAACAGGAGCATTGCTCGCAGTCACAGAAAGTTCCTTAACTATCTGATAATATATTTATAGGTGTTTTAAAATCATATTTCCTTGGGTATTGCCCTATCTTCAAGACAGTAGACATATAATTGGTTTATATAAGGGAACATATTTGCTTTCTGTATTTTATTTAAGTCATACATAATGTATCTTTTAGTTAATAAGACTAAGCACCAGTCCTGTGGAGTAGAATATTTTTTAAACTAGAGTAAATCCTCTAGCCAGTTATGATGGGGTGCAGCTATAGTCCCAGCTACTCAGGAGGCTAAGGAGGATTGCCTGAATCCCAGAGTTCAAGGGTAGCATGGGCAATGTAGCAAAACCCTGAGTCAAAAACCAAACGCAAGCCAGGGGTGGTGGCACACGGCTGTAATCCTAGCACTCTGGGAGGCTGAGACAGGAGAATTGCAAGTTTGAGCCCAGCCTGAAGAATCTAGCAAGATCCTGTCTCACAAAATATAGAGAAAAGGAAAAGGGCTGAGGATGTAGTTCAGTGTGATGACCCTGGGTCCAATCCCCAGTACTACAGTTAAAAAAAGAAAGAAAGAAAACCATATACATACGCCCTCCCCCTCAAAAAACCTCTATAGTAGATAGATCCTTTCAAGGTGTCCTAAGATTGGGGTCATGACTGTGAAAATATTTGAACTTCATAAAATTTGTTTTTCTTTTTAAGACAGAGTCTTGCTATGCAGTTCAGGCTGGCCTTGAGCTCACTTGGTAGCCCAGGCTGGTCTCGAACTCACAAAGATCCTCCTGCCTCAGCCTCCCGAGTGCTGGGATTACAGGTGTGCGCCACCATGCCTGGCTCATAAACTTCATAAAATTTGAAGTCTGTTATATGAATACTTGGTTGCACATGTCTCACATCTGAGGTATATTGAGGATGAAGCATCTACTTAAAACATTACAAGTCTGTTATAATTTCATTTTTAAAACTTAAAATTTTGTGTTTTAATTTTTTTAAATTCTGTATTATGGAGGTGTGGGGTACACTACACATTGAACTACATCCCCATTCCTTTTTTTGTTTTTCAGTTATGAGACAGTCTTGCGAAGTCACTGTTACCCAGGCTGCACTTGGAACTTTCCATCCTCCTACCTCAGCCTCCTAGAGTGCTGGGATTACAGGTGTACAGCACTATGTCCAGCTTTTGTTTTTCCAGGGCTATGGATTACACCCAGAGAGCATTGAGCTACATCCCCAGCCCTATCATTTATTCATTCATTCATTCATTCCTTCATTATCTATCTATCTACCCATCTATCTATCTTATCTATCTATCTATCCATGTTTTTGAGACAGAGTCTCCTGTGCAGTTCAGGCTGGCCTTGAGCGCACTTTGTAGCCCAGGCTTGTTTCGAACTTGCAACGATCCTCCTGCCTCAGCTTAATTTTTTTATTTTGAGACAGTGTACTAGTTGCCTAGGCTGACCTTGAAATTGCAATCCTCCTGTTTCCATTCCTGAGTAGCTAGGATTATAGGTATGCATCGCCACAACTGGCTGAATTCGATTATAATTAATGCTCATTGTTTACACATAACACCTGGGAGGAAGGTCAACTATTTTTACTTCTACACAGCATAGCGTATTAAAGGAAGGACTTCACTATTTTATTGTGCATCAGACAGTTGCCTTTTTTTTTTTTGTACCGGTAATCAAACTCAGGACCTTGTGCTTGTCAGGCAGGTACTCGTGCCGCTGCCCAGCCCTAGATGGTTGCCTTTTAAGGGAGTTGTTGCTGGAAAGTTAGCCTCCAGATGATTAGAATAGTGATGTAATTTACAATAGAAACAATTTCCATATTTTTAATTTTTTTTTTTTGGTCTTTTTTTTATGACAGGGTCTCGCTATACAGGTCAGGCTGGCCTTGAGCTCACTTTGTATCCCAGGCTGGTCTTGAACTCTCAACGATCCTCCCGACTTTTGGGATTACAGGCCTGCGCCACCACACCCAGCTAATACCCCTGTATAATATGTAACATGTAAAAATTTAAAGATACGAGCCAGGGGGCTGGGGAGTTAGCTCAGCGGCGCAGCGCCTACCTAGCAAGCGCAAGGTTGTGAGTTCGATTCCCAGTACCAGAAACAAACCAAAACCAAAAAAAAAAAAAAAAAAAAAAAGATATGAGCCAGGCGTGGTGGCACATGCCTGTAATCCCAGCACTCAGGCTGAAGCAGGAGGATCGAGACCAGCCTGGGCTGCAAAGTGAGCTCAAGGCCAGACTGAGCTGCAGAGCAAGACCCTGTCTCAAAAAGACAAAAAAAGAAAAAATAGGTGTGTGTGTGTATGTATGTGTGTGTGTGTGTATATATATATATAAAAATCTAATAAAATAATTTTTTAATGGTATTTTGAGTCTACTGATTTGAATAATTGAATATTGGAAGCACTTGAATAGGCTGAAAAGGTTTACATTAAGGAAATGGAGGCAGGTGTGGTGCCCTTGAGAGGCTGAGGCAGGGAGATCACACGATCAAGGCCAGTCTGAGCTACTTAGTGAGACCCTGTCTCAAAAAAGAATAAAAAGAGATGGCTGGGTATGGTGGCACGTGCCTGTAGTCCTAGCATTTGGGAGGCAGAGGCGGGAAGATCACTGCAATTTCAAGGCAAGCCTGGACTACATAGTGAGACCTTGTCTCAAAAAACAACAAAAAGAAAGAAAGAAAGAAAGAAAGGAAGGAAGGAAGGAAGGAAGGAAAAAGGAAAGAAAATAGAAACTAGGAATTTACTTTTATTAATGAAATATGTATTCTGAGTTGGAATAGTTCGGATTCACTTAATATTTGTTCTAGATTATGGTCTATTCAGTCAATGGCCATGTTTTTTTCCATGAATTCCCTGGTAGCACAGTGCCTTAAACATAGTAGGTTTGGGCCAGGGATATGGCTCAGCGGCATAAGCACCTGCCTAGCAAGTGCAAGGTCATGAGTTCAATTCCCGTTAACAAAACAAAACAAAACAAAAAAACAACATAGTAGGTTAACAACAAATACTTCTTGGGGAAATGAATTGTTTTTCAAGTTGGCTTTTTGATTTTTCTTTATTTCTTCCCCTTCATTTAGAGCCGAGCTCCAATCTCAGCCAAACTTGTTGCAAATATGCTCTCTGTGGCAGGTGCAGACCACATTATCACCATGGATCTACACGCTTCTCAGATTCAGGTATCAGCAGAAGCTAAATACAGTCATGGGGGTTAGAAAGGTGGGAGGAGTGGGCTGATAATGGTAAAGGCTGCAGAGGAGCCCCAAACTGCCCAAGTACAGCTCAAGTAAACTAGGCACCAACGGCATTTTAAAGATACTTATCTTAAGCATAGTTCTAAGCATTATGCATGATCTGTCACTGAAGGTGGTTTGGAAGGGAGGCAGTGTTGTGTTAAGGGAAGAGCACAGGCTTTGGGATCAGACCTCATTTGAATACGAGTGCTTACTTCTCTAAAGATAGACTTTATTATTATGTTGAGAATGAAATAAGATGTTCATAATAATTCCTGGCCTATGATATCTGTTCAATAAATAGGAGCTGTTACTGTCATATTATTGTTCCCCTTGAATATTCAGTTTTAAATGTGGAACCACAGACATTGGAACCTATTCTCTTGCATAAATCCAGCGTAAGGGGAATAGAATACCACATTTATTCGATACTACTTAAAGATACTTTCATATCATTATCACTTGAATTTATGGCAATTTAATGAAGTACATAGGATAGAAGATTGTATCCAACTTATAGAAAAGTAACTACTCAATTGAGAAATTAATCGAACTTTATAAACTAGAATTAGAACACAGATTTTCTGACTACTAGTTACTCTGTGTGGTCTTGCACTATAAATAGCTTCCACTAAGTTTATATACCATAGCGTCTCTAACTGATTTTTGAAATAAAACAGCTGAACTTTGGGTGGCATAAAGCAGTATTAATTCCTGAGACAGCATTAGCTGCACTGTACTTTTGGCCTTGGCTGAATTTAGCTATTCATAAGGGCTTACCCATTTCTGATGGTCAGTTGTGGGGTGACGGAGGGCTGGTTTTGCTGATCTTGGCTGGGCTCCCTCAGCCAATATTTGAGAAGGTCATATTTACAATTTTCCTCGCCTTTCCCATTACTTTGAATGTTGTAGTATTCTCTAGGCAAGTTACTAATTTCTTTGTGTTAGCCATTTATAAATGAAAGAGAAAGAAAATAAAATAAGACTGACCCAGCTTCTTTCTCTAGGGCTTTTTTGATATCCCAGTGGACAATTTGTATGCAGAGCCAGCTGTCCTGAAGTGGATCAGGGAGAATATCTCTGAGTGGAGGAACTGTACAATTGTCTCACCTGATGCTGGTGGAGCCAAGAGGTATGGTTGAAATTAGTATTGTTTCCAAGGTACTGAGAAAATCTTTCAGCAAGTGTATTACAAAGTGAGACTGTTGTATTTGAGTGGCAGTTTTTAAGTATTTTAGAATGGATATATCAGTGGGTGAGATGTGGGTTCTTGTCTTAGTTACTTTTCTCATTGCTGAGACAAAATACCCAACACCCAAAGTTAAAAGAGGAAAGTTTATTTAGCTCACAGTTCGTAGAGGTTTCAGTCCATAATTGGCTGGCTCCAAGGCAGGGTGGCTTCACAGAGGAGTAATAGTTCATGGTGGGCAGAAGGTAGCAAAGCAACAAGGGAGACAACCACAGCTCTTTCTGTCCCAGTAGCACTCATACATACGCTTGATCCTAGTATTGTCGATCCTACCATTTCACCATGAATCAATCCTGGTGTCACACATGCTCGATCCAGCCACTTCTGAAAAAGCCCCATCTATGACTGCATAAGATTGAGGGGACATCTAGACACAAGCCATGACAGTTGTATACAGTTCACATTTAGTGGCTGAAATTACTACTAGGTAGACAAGACAAAATTGGCCCTAAATAGTCATGATATTGTGAGTTTGACTGTAAGTACAGTAACTATTTTAGATTCTTTTTGTGTTGCTGAGACAAAATACCTGACACCCAAAGTTAAAGGAGGGAGCCGGGCGTGGTGGCGCATGCCTGTAATCCCAGCACTTGGGAGGCTGAGGCAGGAGGATCGTTGCAAGTTTGAGACCAGCCTGGGCTACAATGTGAGCTCACAGCTGGCCTGAACTGCACAGTGAGACCCTGTCTCAAAAAGACAAAAAACCAAAACAAAACAAAACAAAAAACAAAGTTAAAGGAGGGACGGTTTACTTTGGCTGGCTCCAAGGCAGGGTGCCATGGCCCGAGGGAATCACAGTGGCGAAGTCCATGGCAAAGCGGGCAGGAGACAGTGCGCGCAGAAGCAGCAGCCTGCCTGCCTTCCCTCTTTCCCTTTGTTACATCCAGGCTGTAAGCCTACTGACTGGTACCACCCATGTCCAGAGTGAGGCTTCATTGTCCATCCCCTTAGTACCAGCATCACACCCTTAATCCACATTCACACACCCTAATCCAGCCACCTTTGAAACTCCCCACTTATGACCACGTGAGCCTTTGGGGGGACATCTAGATATAAGCCATAACAGTAACATGGCATTAGAGAGCTAACAGCACTGCTATAAACTTATGGGAAAGGGTAGTAAATTTGATTTTTCTAATGAATGGCAGCTGCTATTGGGCCCCATCTTAGTGGATGAGCAAGCTTTTACATATCTTTTATAATGCCGTTAGTTAGATCATTTTGATCCTTGGGATGAAACTATTAAGCAGGAAGGAAAATAGTGTGGTGTTTTTATTTAAAACCAAGACTAAAATTCTAAGCAAACTTTGTGCCAGTGAAACTGCTTTAGAGCTCATGTGGTGCAGACTAAGAGCCCTTGATTTTCCTGGTGATTACTCACTAGTAAAGCATTCAGAAGTATGACACATGTTCTTGTTGTGGAAAGAAAATGAAGCGCTAGAGAACACAGATGATTAGGAAAAGCTAATTTAGGACTGTCTAAAAGCCATTCAAGTCTTCAGTGACTGTTTTACAACAGCCTCTTTATTTCAGTAAGTTCAAGGAACTGATAAACTAAGAACTTAAGTTCCGCTGGGTATATAGCTCAGCGGCACAAGCGCCTGCCTGGCAAGCTCAAGGTCCTGAGTTCGATTCCTGGTACAAAAAAAAAAAGAACTTAAGTTCTGTTATCCAGCCAGAAGGAAGTATGGCATGATGAGTTCCATGTCCTTGCTGACTACCATCTGCAGTGTTAGTACAACATAAAAAATCGCCAAGCTGGAAGTTGTCATACTGTCTCCTTCGGCATTAGCTTCATGACTTGCCAGTGAACTTAGGAGGAAATAGTCACATCTGAAAAAATTAGACAGGACTTTCCAAAGTTGGGTATAGGAAACCTACCTTCAGAAGATGAATTGCTACTTTTGATGTTTTCTTTATTAAAATTGGCTTATAGTGATGTAATATTTCCACATGTGTGGCTATCACTTCTGTCTTGGCAGCGTTTGAGGTGATTCAGTGTTTATAGCCCTTTTCTGATTTCTTGGTCAGCGTAGACGGTTTGGGACACTTGTATTAATTATGCATTTGTGTTGGCTAAGTAATCATTTTAAGCAAATTAGTTACTACTGACGTTAATGTCCTAAGAATAGTAATAGAGCCGGGTGTGGTGGTGCACGCCAGTAATTCCAGCACTCAGGAGGCTGAGGCAGGAGGGTCATTGCAAGTTTGAGACCAGCCTGGGCTACAAAGTGAGCTTAAGGCCATCCTGAACTGCATAGTGAGACCCTGTCTCAAAAAGACCAAAAAAAAAAAAAAAAAAAGTAATGGAGAGCAGAGTGTAATTTGTTTAGATCAAGGTACGATTGTTGCCTAGAGTTATGGTCCAAACCTTACTCTATGGTCAGGTTCTCCTCATCCAGCAAAAACTCAGACATGTCACACAGCACCTGCCTGGCAAGCATGAGGTCCTGTCTTTTTGAGACAGGGTCTCGCTATGCACTTCAGGCTGGCCTTGAGCTCACTTTGTAGGCCAGGCTGGTCTCAAACTCGCAACGATCCTCCTGCCTCAGCCTCCCAAGTGCTGGGATTACAAGTGTGCGCCACCACACCCGGTGAGCATGAGGTCCTGAGTTCGATTCCTGGTACCAAAAAAACCACCTCAGGCATGTGACTATAGTCAGAAGGAAAACAGTACATAATGCTATAGTTTGATCAATGCTTGCTTTCATTTTTTTAAGTTTATTGATACAATGTAGATATACATAATGACCACATTCATTTTAGAGCTTTCTTTCATTTTCAAGACAGAGTTTGCTATGTAGTTTCAGCTGGCCTTGATCCTTCTGCCTCAGCCTGTCTAGTGCTGGGATTACAGTCATGTACTCCCACACCCAGTAGTGCTACATTTTTGAAAGAAGATAAAACCCAAACCACAGGCTTTTCCTTCGCATATGACGAAGATAACACAGTGGAAGATGGAAATAGGTTTCACCAGGACAATTGTTTTCTGCTTGAGTGAATTGTGTGGTATTTTGTCACCAGACAGACTTCTATCTCACCTTCTAGTGTGGTTTGTATTATGTTGTAATAAGAAAAAATAAATAAAAGTTCTGTTTGGATTTGGAGAGACTTTGGGCTCTGCAGTGAGATGCCAAGTTTGGTTAATTGGTGTAACTTTCTAGCAGTCATAAAAAGAACTCCCAAGCTTGGTGTCCAGGTACAGTTGACACTGACAGCTGGTGGATGTTTTGCCACCATCACACAGGGGCACAAACAGGCTGAGCACTGCTTCTCCCCTGCCAGCCCAAGTCCACCTAGCTCACCCCACCACGTCCCGAATCACGGTGTTCGATGGTGGAGTTTAGGACCACCTGTGTAGTCAGCGAAGTCTCTTTCCCTCCTACTCCCAATCAATTAATGTGCCTTAGTAATTATACTCGTCCCAGGACTGGTGAGGGTGTCTTTCAGTCCCCTACCCAGAATGAATGATCATCCCAGTTTGAGTAATGCATTCCTAAACTGCTACTAGAATATAGAGGCATTAGGCCATTAAACCCAGTTTGTGAGGTTTGCCTTTGAGATGGCTACGGTAGTTGCTTTCATCCGGCCCTGGGAACTGTTTGGTTTCAAGGAGTACCCCCCCACACAACCAACCCCTCCCACCCACCGTTTTTTTTTTTTTATAGCGCTGGGGATGGAACTCAGGACCTTGCACTTTACCACTAAGCAATACCACCAGCCCCTAAGAAGGCACATATACATGTGTTTAACTTTGAATGTCCTCTGTTTTGCAGAGTTACCTCCATTGCAGATCGGTTGAATGTGGACTTTGCTTTGATTCACAAAGAGCGGAAGAAGGCCAATGAAGTGGACCGCATGGTGCTGGTGGGAGATGTGAAGGACAGGGTGGCCATCCTTGTAGATGACATGGCTGACACTTGTGGCACAATCTGCCATGCAGCTGACAAGTGAGTGAAAAGGGAACAACTGCTATCAAATGACATCAGCTTGTTGATTGTTTTTGTGACTGAATTGCAGCTTTAGGAGATTTTCACTACCCTAGGCTTGAATTCTCCTAAATATAAATTGATGAATACTCTTAGTTCCTCCTCTAGTTTTTTATTGCTGAGCAGATACTCCATGTATGTTCAATTAACCCATTGTAAATTAAAACCGTTGTGAGTGGAAATACACCGAATATAGCTAACCTCCCTGTGCGTCACAGTTTAACCACATCATGCTCTATCGAGTATTGGTTGTTTCCTGTCCTGATCACAGGGCTGACTAGGTGTTGTGCCTTGTGCTGCCCTGCACCGTGAAGCAATATCTTACTGCGCAGCGCAGCCCACAGATAGCTCCAAGTTCCCAGTACAACTTCTCCCAAGTGCTTATTGCTTTTGTGCCATCATGAAGTCCAAAAACCTTAGCATCACCCGAGTGATACCTGTGTAACAAAATTTGTCTACAGCCATACCACCCTGAACATGCCCGATCTCTTCTATATAACAAAATGAGCCATTTTAACCTTTTCCTTTCTTTCTTTGCTTTTTAAAAGCCATTTTAAAGGGCACAATTCAATGCTATTAATTACATTTACAGTGCTGTAACTATTAACCACTTTCTGTTCCAATATCAGTCCGTTCCTACGCCCATACTAGGGGTTGAATTCAAGTCCTCAGGTATGCTAGGCAAGTAATGTACCACTGAGCTACATCCTTAGCCCTTTTGTTTTTTAGTTTGAGACAGGGTCACGCTGAATTTCCTAGACTGGTCTCAATCTTGTGATCATCTTGTCCACAGCCTCCAAGTAGCCGGGATCACAGGCGTGCACCGCCACAGCCGGCCATTTGAAGTGTTTTCTCATAACTCTCAGTACTCTTTTTTTGTTTGTTTTGAGTCAGGGTCTTGCTATATAGTCCAGGCTGGCCTCGATCTCATGGCAGTCCTCCTGCCTCAGCCTCCTGAGTATTGGGATTACAGGCGTGCACCACCACACATGGCTCAGTACTCTTATAGCCTGTGTGTGTTTTGAGACAGGGTCTTACTTATATAGCCCAGGCTGTCGAGGCTGTCTGTGAAATTGGAATCTCCCTGCTTTAGTCTCTAGAATGCTGGGATTACACGTGTGTGCCACCATGCCTGGCTTTTAATAGATTTTTGTTTTAAAAAGTTAAGGTGGAAATCCATAGATCTGAACAAGCAAAATTATATATTCTTTTTGTCTTTTTGAGACAGGGTCTCACTATACAGTTCAGGCTGGTCTTGAGCTCACTTTGTAGCCCAGGCTGGTTTCAAACAAAGATCCTCCTGCCTCAGCCTCCCGAGAGCTGGGATTGCAGGCATGAGCCACGTCTGGCCATATATTTTCATCTGTATTTTATTTAAGCTTGAAACCTTGGTCTTACTGGTTGATTGTCCGGTGATTGTCCATTATTATTCATCTTATACTTCTCATCTTTTGTGTGAATGGTACTAAATTACCTCCCCACTCGGCCCTGTGATACGAGTCAGCAATCTGACCTACATAATCCATCTGACACATTACCTCTGCACCTGCTAGTTTTCCTAAAACTGTGTGTAGACATATCAGTCCGCTCCTGTGAATGTTAAGTAGCTCCACAATGCTTACAATCCAAGCTACTATAGACAGCATTGTTTCTCATGATGGTTTTTTAAACTCCTGAGTGTCTGTACCTGACACATCATAGGTGCTAACAATGTATTTGAGTGCTACCGAATCATTCCTATTCCTGTCTTGGATCCTCAACTTTACATTTATACAATCTATTTCATCCTTGAAACCCTTAGTTTATAAGGTATTGCTAATCAGTGTAACAGACCGTCCCCCCTGATATGTTACTGGCTTAACGTGATAGTTTCTTTCTTGTGCATGGCATATGCCAATGCGAGCATTCCCAGTTGTATTCATTTTCAAGGGTACTTTTCCAGTCTTGTGATACTGCATCTTTAATATGTGGCTTCCAAGATTACCTGGGAGGACATTTCCATTTTTTGTTTGTTTGTTTGTTTGTTTGTTTGTTTTTGTTTTTTTTGAGACAGGGTCTCACTATGCAGTTCAGGCTGGCCTTGAGCTCACTTTGTAGCCCAGGCTGGTCTCGAACTCACAGCGATCCTCCTGCCTCAGCCTCCCAGAGTGCTGGGATTACAGGTGTGCACCACCATGCCTGGCAACATTTCCATTTTGTCCAAGCAGAAAGATAAAAGAAGATAGATCACCTTTGGGAGGTTTTTATAAGTCTAGCCAGGAAGTGGCTTAGAGCACATTTTTCTTGATATGGACAGAATGTAGCCTCCCAAAATTCGTATGTTGAGCCCGAAACCCAAACGTGATGGTTTTTGGAGATTACTTTTAGGAAGTATTTAGTTTAGATGAAGTCTTGAGGGCAGAGCCTTCATGATGAGATGAGTTCCCTCAGAAACAGAGAATTTTGGAGGGCTCGCTGGCACGGCCCTTGTGCATGTATACAGGAAGAGGTCATGTGAGCGCAAAGCCAGCCACCTACAAGCCGAAAGAAGACTTCAGAATGAAACCCACCCTGTCTGTGTGTTGCTCTTGGACTCGCCAGCCTACAGAACCGTGGGAAATATGTTTCTGCTTGAGCCACATGGTTTATGGTACTTCCGTTATGGCAGACTGAAAAAGTTTTTCTCCTGAACTCAGATTCTGTAGTGACAAATACGATTAATCCCAAACAACACTTTTTTCCTCTAGACTTCTTTCAGCTGGCGCTACCAGAGTTTATGCTATCTTGACTCACGGGATCTTCTCCGGCCCAGCCATTTCTCGCATCAACAATGCATGCTTTGAAGCAGTAGTAGTCACCAATACCATACCTCAGGAGGACAAGATGAAGCATTGCTCCAAGATACAGGTAAGGATGAGATGCCTTCTAAAAAAACAAGACCTTACTAAGTGTTTAGTAGGTAGCTAGACTCTGAAAATTTCCTTCTTCAGTCTTAAGGGGTTTTTGTTGTTGTTTGTTTCGTTATTTTTTTTGTTTGTTTGTTTTTCTCTGGTACCAGGAACTGAACTCACGACCTTGCGCTTGCCAGGCAGGCGCTTTTGCCGCTGAGCTAAATCCCCAGCCCCTGTTTCGTTATTTTTAAGACAAGGTCCACTCTGTGTAGCCCAGGCTGGCCTCAGACTCACATCCTCCTTCCTCAGCCTTTCAAGCAGTAGGGTAACAGATATGCACCACCACACCCTATTCTTGGTCTTAAGGCTTTAGCCTGTTATCAGGATCTGATCCAGAATTTTAAGAACTTATTGAAAGGAACAGTTAATGTTTAATTGTTTGATCAATCTTACATGCTAATATCTGGTTATCTGAGTAACCAATTTGAAGATAACAATGGGTAATACAATAACCATTGTTAATTTCCTATCACCTTGTTTGAAATTCTGTGTGTTTTTTATTGTTTTTGTGTTGTTTTGTTTATGTCTTTCTATTTGTTAATTTGTTTGTGTTCTTTTCTCTTTAAAATTAAAAAAAAAAAAAATCTGAGGCTAGGGATTTAGCTCAGCGGCACAGCGCCTGCCTGGGAAGTGCAAGGTCGTGGGTTCGATTCCTGGTACCGGAAAAAAACCAACCCCCTCCCCCAAAAAATTAAATGAAATTAAATTAAATTAAAAAAATAAATTAAAGAACTGCCTGTTGCTGGATCACAGAACCTGGAGGATGGAACTCAGGATTTTGCATTTTAACAGCCTCTCCCAGTGATTCTAAATACAAATTAAAGTTTGCAAATTTATGCCTTTTAATATGAGGGGTTATTTTTTTTTGAGACAGAGTCCCACTGTGTAGTTCAGGCTGACCTTGAACTCATGGCGATCCTCCTGCCTCAGTGTCCCAAGTGTTGGGATTAATGAGTTTGTTTTAACTACCTGCCCCTGTGGACATTATAATGTGAAAACTTAAAGCTGGTTATATGCTCCTTAGTGTTTCTCAAAGTATATTCTGGATCTGTGTTTCTTATCAAAATGTAAATTGCTTTGTTTCATTCAAGACCTATAAAACTAGAGGTCCTAAAGTCAGTATCTTACGGTATTTCCCCAAATAACTATCAAAAACTTAAGTTTCAGTGTTATTGCTCTGAAAAATATCTTACTTAATTAAAAATGTATAATCATTAGCTTTCTAAAATTAATATCTATTATTAGAGGATTGTTGTCATTTGAAGAAAGGTTTTGGGTTTTTTTCAGTTTAAATGCTTTTTTTTTTGAGACTAGGTCTTGCTATGCAGTTCAGGCTGGCCTTGAGCTCACTTTGTAACCCAGGCTGGTCTTGAACTTGCAAAGATCCTCCTGCCTCAGCCTCCCGGGTGCAGGGATTACAGGCGTGCGCCACCATGCCCGGCCTGTTGTTGTTTTATATATATATATATATATATTTTTTTTTTTTTAAATATTTTTGAGACAGGGTTTCACTGTGTAGTTCAGGCTGGCCTTAAACTCAGTTTGTAGCCCAGGCTGGTCTTAAACTCGCAACTATCCTCCTGCCTCAGCCTCTCGAGTGCCTCAGCCTCTCGAGTGCCTCAGCCTCTCGAGTGCCTCAGCCTCCCGAGTGCCTATGCCACCACACCCGGCCTATTCTTAAGGTTGTTTTGTTTTGTTTTGGTACTAGTGACTGAACCCAGGGCCTTTGCAATGAGCTATATCCATGGCCCTTTTTCATTTTTTATTTTGAGACAGGATCTCACTAAATTGTCCAAGCTGGGCTCAAACTTACGAATCCTCCTGCCTCAGCCTGCTAGAGTACTGGAATTGTGGGTGTGTGTCAACATGCTGTGCTCACCTTAATAGTTTTTCAATGATAGCTCATTACCATTTTGATGAGCCTCAATTACGAAAAACTTGGTATGAGCTGGGTGTGCAACTGAGGGAGACTGATGCAGAAGGATCACAGGTTCAAGTCCAGCCTAGGTAATATAGTGAGTTTCTCTCAACATTAAAAAGGACTGGGAATATAGCTCACTGTGAAGGCTCTGGGTTTAATTCCTAGCACCAAACCAAAGAAGAAGAAGAAGAAACTTGTGAGGAGTAGCTGAGTATGGGCTTAGGAGGAGAGTACTCACTAGGGTACCCATAAACCTGGGCTATAAAAGAGCTTCCTGAAGCTCTGTCCATATGTACTAACCTGGTGCTTGTCTTGCCTTTCTAGGTGATTGACATCTCCATGATCCTTGCAGAAGCCATCAGGAGAACTCACAATGGGGAATCCGTTTCTTACCTGTTCAGTCATGTCCCTTTATAAGAGAATCCCTTCTGAAGTTTTGAAACATGAAATCAACCCACCCCCTGTTTTCCCTTGGTGTTCAATGACAGATTTGGGAGACCCAGCTTGCTCCAGTGTAGTTTTCCACATCCCAGATTAGGTAGGTGAGGGTTTAGCCTAAATTGGGAAAAGCCCGATTGAGACTGGCTGCTGGGATTTCCTACCCTCATTGTCTCATTCTGCCTTCCCTGCTGGTTTTGTGAACCTTGCAGCTTTGACTAGAGCTCAGTTACTGCAGTATTTCAGACTTTGAAGATTGTTGTTTAAAGCCGTTGTTTGAATGTGACTGTGGAAGCTCAGACTCCTTTGCATGTGAATAATTTAGGGTTGTTCTTTGTTCAGAACAACTCACTGCAGAGCCCGCTCATGTGTGACAAGTTCTCTAAGTTCTGTCCTAAGTTACTGAAAGCCTTGGGCAGCCCCGAATTTAGTCCCAATAGTGCAGGAGCCTGCAAGGCAGGGGTAGGCGGCCCAGCTCGAGCAGCTGTCCGGTGCGGTCGTGAAAGCGGGGAAGGGGGTAATACAGAGCAGCAAATGATTCTTGGGAGGAAGAAGCCTGAAGAAGCCTGATCCATCATCATCTGCTTGCCTGTGTAGCTTGGCTTTTCCTCTACCTAGGCCTTTCTATTTGGCTTTACCTACAGTCATTTTGACCTTTTCCTGGCCAAATATCCCCTCGTAGCCAAATGACTGGCCTCCTGTTTTGTCACCGTTAACATTCACATTAGATAATGTGCTATAGCTTAATCTTCCTTAGCCTGCTGCCACCGTGGTAGGTTTTAGGTGGTATCGTATAGTGCCTTTTGAGTAATTTAAGTACTTAATTTTCACCTGCCCTCCTTGGATCCGTTTGGCCTCTCATGACCTGGGATTTCTGTTAAAAAGATTGATGTTATTGTCTCTTGTAGAGGAAACTAATGAAGTGTGTGTGTGTGTGTGTGTGTGTGTGTGTGTGTGTGCATGACTTTGGGTCTGTGTCATGTCTGCAATGATTTCTCTGCTGAAGGTTTAGTTTAGATGTCTTGTCCAGTGATAGCTCATATTTCTTGGTTTCCAAATTATTTTAGCTACCTTATTAGCCAAGGGAAAATAAGAGTAGTTTTATTAAAATGAAATACTTTAAGATATGTAGAGTATACTGAGAACTAGACATAGTCTAATTCTGTGCAGTATATCTGAATTATAAGGTATATAATACCTGCTGGATCTCTAGTTCTTACTTCTGGTGGCCAAAATTAATATTTAGGTATTTGGTTACAAGAGGAGAATAGTTTCCACAATTTATTCATTTCAATCCAACTTTGCCAGGTATAATTGCTCTTCATCAGTAGCTGACGTCTGGCATTTCATTTCAACCCTTCTAAATAAAATCTGCTGTGACACCCAGTATGGTGGCTCATGCCTATAATCCCAGCACTCTGGGGCTCAGGCAGGAGTGGCTGAGGTAAACTATGAAATATGTGCCTCTGGGCCTCTGGGCCTTTTTCCGCTCAAATCTTTTGCTGTGGACTGGGAGTGTACCTTAGTGGTAAAGCATTTGCCTGGCATGCACCAGGCCCTGGTGGTTTTTTCTTGTTTTTTCAGACAGGCCCTGGGTTTTGACCCCCAACACAGTAAATAAAAATAAAAAAGTTGACTTCGAATCTTTGCTCTGGAAATAGCTCACATGGAATGTTGATCCCCTTGCTAGCTGGTTATGCTATTTCCTGAAGTGGATCGGTTGGTCAGGCTTTCTCCTTTCAGGATACAGTAGTTGCCCCCTTTGCCACAGGGGGGCACCATCCAAGCAGCCCCCGGGGTTTGCCTGAAACCATGGCTAGTGCCTGGCCCTATATACAGTATTTTTTCCTTATAAATATTTATCTATGATGAAGTTTGATGTACAAGTTAGGCACTGTAAGAGAATAATAATACTGGTAAAATAGGATGATTACAACTAATAAAATTGCCAACACCCTCATTCCTGTGCCTTGGGGACATTATCAGGTAAAGTACGTGTTACTTGAATATGAGTACTGTGGTATAGAAACAGTTGGTCTGATAACCAAGGCTAAGGGGCTAGTAGCATCTACAGTGTGAATGTTTTAGACAAAGGGATTATTTATGTCCTAGGCAAGCCTGGGAAAGCTCGAGATTTCATCATGTTACTCAGCACAGCATGCAATAAATTGTAAATTGTTTTCTTTCTGGAATTTTCTGTTTAATAGTTCTGGCCTACAGTAGACCATGGACAGTTGAAACCATGGCAAGTGAAACTGCATAAGGATCAACGACAATATTTTGACCTGAGGCCTCTGCTGTGGGCCCCTTTGGGTAATCCTCTGGTTTGTGGTTTGAGCCAGGGTCTCACTGTGGAGTTCATGCTGGCCTCAATCTCTGTGGCAGTCCTCCTGCCTCAGGGTCCTGCGTGCCGGATTACGGGGATGCACCACCATGCCTGGCTTGAGTAAGCCATTTCTTGGGAGATTTTGAGGTCATTCAAGAAAGATCCTCCACTCCCACTTTGGTCCCTGTGCCTGGGGGAAGGCCACAATTCAGAGCCCTGTGACACTCAGCAAAGTGCCTTCCATGCTTTTCTGCAGTGTCTTAGAGATGGCTTCTCAACTAGAGGGCTTCAGGAGTGTACCTGGTGGGTAGGCCACGAGGTGGCAGCACCAAAGGAGTACGGTTGTGGAGCTCAGGAGACAGGAAACTAACCGGGATCACTGTATGATGGCCTTTGAACAAGAAGCATCACCAGGTTGTTTCAAATCCCCTTGCCTCCCCCAACCCCAGAACCAGAGAAAAGGGCATTGCCTAGGCCAAGGCTTTTTTGTTTTGTCTTTTTGAGACAGGGTCTCACTATGTAGTTCAGGCTGGCCTTGAGCTCACTTTGTAGCCCATGCTGGTCTTGAACTCACAACGATCCTCCTGCCTCAGCCTCCCGAGTGCTGGGATTACAGGTGTGAGCCACCATGCCAGGCTGCCAAGGCTATTCTTAAGCTAATGCTTTTATATTTATTTCATCTCAAATGGGGCTGCTAGTTTCATTGTCTTTTCCAGAGTTGGACACCAAGTATTTTCTGCTAAAAAAAGTAACTTGTCCATTAATAGCGTGTAGCCCTCAACAACTATATTAGAACCATATAAACCTGAAATTGAGAAAAAAAACAATGTCTTTGCTATTGGCCCACCCTCCTACCATCTCACTCTTGCTAGCAGGAAGAGGCCTATAGAAGGGAAGCTAGTGAAGCGAGGGGGAAAAAACCCTTAAACAGGCGGCTGAGGGAAGACAGCTTTGCACTGTTGCTCCCAGGGCTCCCAGCACTCAAACGAGACCGTACAGAGTCTAAATGTGTGCAAAATAGCCATTGGTCAGGAAATGGAGCCAGCCTCCCACCCTTGCATTAGTGTGCAGCTCCAGCCTTTAGGCAGACACTTCTTCAATAGAAGCCCAGCTTCTTGTTTTGTTTTCCATTTTTTTTTTTTTTTTTTTTTTTTTTTTTTTTTTTTCTCCGGTACCGGGAACCGAACTCAAGACCTTGC